CCGGCCGCAGCTGCCGGCTGGTCACGGGCTGGACGCGGCTCCCGCTCCCGGGCGGCGCCGCACCGGGCTTCGCTGGCTCCTTCCGCAGTCCCGCTCGGAGCAGGACTCGGGCCCCTCTGAGGCTCTACCGGTACCGAGCGGCGGTCAGGGCTCCCCTAGCGGGGCTCCCCAGTGCCGAACGGCGGTGCTTGGGGCTCTCCCGTGCGGCGGCGGCCTAATCCCAATCCCCGTTCTAGACGCTTTCCGGTTCAGGAGCGGCTCGGTTCCGACCCCTTCTTCGGTGCAAGAGCGGCTCGGTCCCGACCCCTCTCCGGTGCAGGAGCGGCTCGGTCGCAGTCCCGATCCCGGACACTCTCCGGTACGCTGGCCCCGCGCCCCGTTTGAATATTTCCGCGTGCGGCCCCCCCACCAATCAGCGCGCAGCCCGGTTCGAGCCGGCCAATCACCGCCCGCCGAGGATGCAGCTCCCACGGTAACGGCCAGCGGCTGCTGACTGCCCGCCCGCGCTGACGCGCAGCGCTGTGATTGGTCAGCGCCCCGCGAGGGGCGGAACCGCGGGTCCCGCAGGCCCTTAAACGGCCCCACAGCCCCGGCCCGGTCCCCAGGAGGTGGCGAGATGGGAACGAAGCGGCTTTATTGGGGGGTATCAGGGTTCGGGGGGCATCAGGGTTCGGGGGGCTCCTCGGGGGGCGGCACGTCTCCCCCGCGGCGAAGCGTCTCCATGTGCTTCTGCATCTTCTCAGTCATCCAGGCTGGTGGGATGAAGGGCTTCAGCTCTTCCAGCCGCAGATCAACAGAGTCCCTGGTGAGGAAGGAAAGTGACATGGAGGGTCTCCAGCACTCACTACTGACCCCAAATCTGCCATGTCCCCTGGCACAAATCACTACCAAGCGCAGATCCACCAAACCTACCACTGATCTTACTCAGCACTGAGCCCAAACCTACCATGTACCCCCAAGTCCAAACCTTAATCGCCCACCACGGCCCTTGGGCACCAAACCCCAACCCTGACCGAGCCCCACAACCATCATGGAGAGAGCCCCTCCCACACAGGACACCCCTGCAGTGCAGCAGTGAGGGGGGACATGCTGAAGGCCCCCAGGAAAGCAGCCCCAGGCACAGCAGCACCTTCAGAGTGTCTGCTTTAGTCCTCACCTGTAATCCTCACTGGCAGCCAAATCCCGAATGTCCTCTTCAATGAGGAGGTAGGCCTGTGGCACAAGGTGGGGAACACCTCAGGATTCCTGTGTGGGGCAGCCAGGGCACGGCCACTTCCCCCAGCGACCGCTGTCCCCGTGGGAGCCAGCTGTGCCTCCTGGCCCACGCCCCAGTCCTGTGGGCAGGGGATGGACCTTGGCAGCACTGTGTCCCGGTGCCCTGCCTATCCTCCTGCCACTGCCACCTGGCCCGTGGCTCCTCCGCCCGTGCTGGCCCTGTGGCGGGCCCTGCGCCCGGCCGTACTCACCATCTTGCCCCCAATGGCCCTCATGTGCTGCTGCTCTGTCAGCCAGTGCTTATCCTGCGGGTCAGCCGCGTACTACAACAAAGCAGCAAGGACCGAGCTGAGAACGGGTGACAGACCCTCCCCTAAAAGCCCGCTCCTGTGGGACGCTGCACCCCGCTCTGCTCTGCCCCCCGTTCCGCCTGCCCTGCTCCAGCCTCAGCCCTGGCTCTGGCAAATCCACCGCCTCAGCGGGATGCAACAACATTGGCTCATGTTCTGTGTGCTAGCCAGACCTTGGGAACGTGCTCGAAGATAACAAACAAGGGCATGGGGGTGGAAGTAAACAAGGGAGCTGAAGCACACGCTCCCAATTCCCATGGGAAACCATCTGGCTGTGGCACCTGACCTTAAAGAGGTGGGGATGCTTGATGTAGAGTCGCCCTCTTGTTCCTCCCATCCCGAGAGCTCTGCAATAGGAACATGAGGGGTGTTAGGGTTGTGGGGAGGGCAGCTGTGGTGGCACAGGGACACCCCTCTCCTCCCCAAGCCCTTCCTACTGCTTTTGAGGCAGAGAAGCGAAGTGACGGGAGGAGTGTCACGGGCTCCTGCCTGGGGACACCACCCTCCATCGACAGGGCCATTCCTTACTTGTTTGCTCGAGATCCCAGCACAAAGGTTGTGGTTTCAGTCAGTCGGGATGGATCCCACTACAGAGCAATTGGAAAAGGGGCAACATTAGAAATGAAGTTGCTGCTGGCCATGCTCCACAAGCCTTGGCTCTCTGACAACCTTGGAACCTTGGAGCTGCCTCCAGACTGGGAGGGAGGGAGCTGGCCACAGACCTCCAGCCTTCCGCAGGGGAGGGACGTTACATTCTGTCTGGGCTGATCTAAGCAGTTTCCCTCATGGGAAACACTTGTGGGATTCTCCAGGCTACTCCTGGTCCCCTCAGGTCTCCCTCAGCGGCACCACACCGCAGGGCTATAGGCTATGGTGCCTGGGGAGACCAGCAAAGGCCTCCGGGCACTTCGCTTCCTCTTCTTGCTCCACCCCTGCCCAGGGCCCCATCAGGCCAGAGCACAGCCTCTGCTCCTGCAGCTGCAGGGCTCTGCTAGGGGGAGCAAAGGGGAGGAGAGAGGGAGCCCAGCAGTGTCGGACAGCTAATACCTTTGGTCCATCCCTTTTCACAGGCTCAGAGACTTTGAGCTTCCACCTGAGAGGAAAGAAAACAC